GGGGCGGGCAGTGGGCAGTGCCCGCGGGCCGCCGCCGCGGGAGTGGAGCGGAGAGCAGCGGCATCCCTCCCTCCCGCAGCCATGGCTGTGTCCCGGCTGCCGCTGCTCCCGCTGCTCCTGCTGGCGGCCGGCGGGCTGCGGGCGGCGGAGAGGAGCGGCCGCAGCAGCAGCGCCATGGAGGAGCTCGCCACCGAGAAGGAGGCGGAGGAGAGCCACCGGCAGGACAGCGTGAGCTTGCTCACCTTCATCCTGCTGCTCACCCTCACCATCCTCACCATTTGGCTCTTCAAGCACCGCCGCGTCCGCTTCCTCCACGAGACCGGCCTGGCCATGATCTACGGTGAGTCCCGCGGGGGTCCCGGCACCGCCCGCGCCTCAGCCCCGGAGTCACCCCCGGCAGGTGCCGGGAGGGGCGAGGCCCCTGCTCCCCGCCGTGCCCCTGCGGAGGAGCGCCGAGCCCGCGGCTGGCGGGCGGCAGCGCCCGGGTAGGCCGAGCCCCGGGCAGGGGCAGCCCCGCTGCCGCAGAGCCCGACCGCCCCCGCCGCTGCTCCTGGGTCCCCTCCCTTCGCCCGCGCCTTTCCTGGGATAGAAGGAGACTGCCTCCCGTGCGGCAGCGGAGCGGTGTCCTGCGGGAAGGTGCGTCCCGCCGCCGTGGCAGCGCTGGCAGGGGAACAGCGTTCCAGTGACCCTCCCCGCCGCAGACAGGCAGCTCGCTGGCCGTACTTCCAGCAGTGTGAAGCACCGGGACGTGCAGGTCATCGCGGTGATGACTTTGGAAATCGCCATCCCGATGCCCTTACCGTGCTGCGGCAGCAACACGAGAAAAGGAGCATGTTTTGGCTCCGGGGTTTGCTCCCTGGCTGTCGGCGCGCTGCTCTCGCCGGTGGCCCGCGTTTGCGGACACCGACTGACCGCAGTGACACCACGCACCCTGACAGCACCCGCTGCTCATCCCGAGCCCTCCTGGTGGAAGGAGGGCTTTTCTGAGTCGTTTGCTCTTTCCACCCCCCTTTTCTTGGTGGATGTGAGCAAAGGGAAAGTAAACCCCTCAGCAGAAGCTGTGTTTCCTCCCTGCGTTTGTGGGGCTGATGGTCCGGAGGACTCGGGCTCGGCTGGTTAGTGTTCATGGTGCAGATCTGGTCTCTCTGGTGCTGTGAGTTGCTGGCGCGGAGGGCGGCAGGTGAACCTGCACGGGGGACGTGGAGCTCTCGCTCCGCCGGGAACTCGAACGGTTGTATTTGGTGCGCAGTTTGCTACGCAGAGCATAATCGGTCGCGATGAGGAGCAGCCATCCATTTAAAAAATGATTTGTCTGCTGGTGATTGGCTACTGCCATAAACGCCGGGAGTACTTCTTCGTGAGCGGAATCGGTTCCTGCTGAACCGTGTGAAACACCTGCCCCACGTTGGTCGGGATGAGCTTATTGAGGGTAAGCACAGATGAGAAATTCAGCACTCGAGGGGATGAGGAAAGTGAAGTGTTTCCTTCCCGATGAGAACTGCTGCTCTTGAGGGCTATGTGATTGCTTGCAAAGCAGTGGAATTTTCCTCTGGTGATGCTTCTCTTAAACCATCCCAATTTGCTCTTAGTCACTGATCTCTTTTGCTGCATTGCTGTGTACTTCACATATGCTCGTTGCTGAAAACCGACAAATTAACAATTGGGTTTATAAGTAAGTTGTGCAGAGGCATTATAATGCTTAGGAGGTGATAGTAGTGCTCAGGAGACAGTAGATTATTTGTGTGCTGATTGGAAAAGAGGCACGGTAAGGTGGTATTGAAGATGTTGTTTAGATATTATCTCATTTTTTGCACCTTCAGGAAGTTCATTTATGTTTCATGATTATTTCAGCGATTTCAGTGGCTTAGTTTATGGTGGAAATCTTGTTTATGTGGGAGTGCTAATGCATGCAACACAAATACCAGGGCATCAAGGGCATTTGGGTTCGTGTTTTGATGAGCTGTGTGGAAAATGAGAAATTGTTCAACTGGAGAGCTTCTGCCTCTCATTAAACTCAAATTCGTTTACTCTAACATATTTCCTGATCTGTGAAATGGGTGTTAAGTTTCCAAACTGATGTAAAAGTGTCCAAATTCTGTCTTGGGAAAGTCACTTTGCTGTAGCTCTTTCTGCCCCATGGACAAAATTGCCAAAAGAATGATTGGCTCTTAGTGTGCCCAAAGTAATTTTTTTCCCCATAAATCATTTCCCAATGTGCTCACCTTCTAAATGAGTCCCTTCAGTATATCAAAAAACATGGTCATCTCCCTCTTAAACAAATCAACTCTTGCCTTGTCATAGCAAACGTACTAAGAAATGTGTTTAATGAGTTCAGTTCCTTTCTAGCATGGTTAGCCTTCATGCTAGCAAAGCTCTGCATTTTGCAGACTTTCTGTAGGGCAAAGAGAACAACAGAGCATCACAGCAACTTTCTGGTATACTTCTGGTAATCAGGCTTCATTCTTCAAATAAGAGTTTTTCCCTTTTCCTTCCTTGTCTATTTAAAGAACAGTGGTTAAACTGATAGATGGGTTTCTATTTTGCTAATAATTTGAGAAATTCACTTTTTAAAAAAATATGTATGTATTTGAAGTGCATATGTTTGATAATATCTGTTTTGAACAGAAAATCATAAGTCAATATTTCAACCAAAGAGCTTGAAGTTCTAAAAACACAAGTAGTTATTTAGCTTATAAAGTGCTAAATACAATTTAATTCAAGTCTTGAAACTGTCAAAAGTCTGTTGCTTGGTTGAAGTTAAATACTTACAAATGGCAGCTGCTCCAGCAACAGTATTGCTAATGAAAGCCATTATGGAGCAATTAAAAAAACCCCGAACACAACCCAACTTAACACTAATCTACAATGGAGCAACTAAAGAAACGAGGCTTTGCTGAAACGTGTATTTCAACTTGTGATAATGAGAGTGATGCTTGCTTTTATTTGTGCTGGTCTGAGGATAAACTATTCTGAGATGTGTTTTTTCAGAAGAGGTTCAGTGGCAACTTTGGCGGGTTTCATCATTCTCTGCTGAGAAGCATTGCCATGTAGTAGGGAGCAATGGTACATGGACCATGCGTGTCAAGAGCTCAGGATAGAGCTTAAGGGTGGGAAGTGATGGTGGCTCCCCAGCACTCTGCTCCTCAGGAAGCAACTGTCTGGATATGTAAATGTTTCCCATCAGATCCAGTGCTATCACTCCCGTTATGCAATTAGTTTGTCTCTTTTCATAAGTGATAACTTAGGTACACTGGCCACTCGTGCATCAGCACAGATGTAAGTCCTATCAGGTCACCTTCTTGACACTGGGGTTGTTCTGGAACTGCCTGGGGACTACATGTCCTAGCACTGCAGATAAAAGTAAAAGCAAACCAGACTTGGGTACAGAGAAAGAAAAACAATCTATGAAGAGGCATATAATAGTTCAATTACCTTTTGTGGGTCAGAAGTGAGTTGTAAATGTTCAGGATAACAACATTATATCTGTTCTGGAATACTCTGTATCAGACTAAGTTTCTGTATCCACAGAGTAGATACAGAAAAGGTCTATTTTTAGCTCATCTGGCTGCAGTGCTCTGTTACCATTCTAATATCTACACATGCTAGAGATGACCTAACACATCTCCACTGCCAGCAAAATAATGTCCGTGTTGGTATTTAATAAGCCACTTTGACATAAGCCTCCTAATACTAGATGTAGGATCATAACTGAGCACCCAGTTTTGATAACATTATCCTTTCTCTGGCAACCTGCTTGTTCTTCCTGAAAATTATTTTAAATCACTTTGTTACAGGCTTTAAAAGCGAACCTTGCTCGATTTTTTGGCTGCTCAGGATGTTTTAATAGTAACACAACTCTTTTCTGTAAGCTTGCTTTATGGCCTATGACTGGATGGAAAAATTACAAATTTTTCTTTTGAGAGAATTTTAGAAGAAGTGCTGTTTATATCTTTCATATATCATATATATGCTGTTTCTATATTTCAGATTTGCTCTTCAGGTGGGGTAGTTGGATAGCTCATAAATTCCTGATGTTTCTGAAGTATCTTTGGAGTACAATTCATCTGTAGTCCTCAAAGCAGTGATTTTGAATTTTTTTGTTTTGTCGGTGTTTTTATGGGTTTGGAGTTTTTTTGTTTGGTTGTGGGGCTTTTGCAAGGGCAGTGGTTTTGATAGCAATTAAGATAAATTAGTTAATTTTAATGTTTGTGAACCTCATCTTTGTGAGATGTTCTATCAAATCAGCACCAGAATACTCTCTGATCACTAGCATGAACTAAAGAGGAGAGACGTGGACATGTGGATTCCTTTTGCGTGAGGAAGCCTTTGGTGACATACCTGGCTGTTAAAGCTGCTGCTGATCTGCAACACCACGTGGTTGCAGGAAACAGTCAGAGGCTGAGGGGGGAAAGTGTTCCTCTGCATATACTCTACTTCTCATCTGAATTAGAAAGCTGGCACAAACTGATGCCAGTTCTGCAATAGTGCAGAGCTCATATGTCTGACTGCCTTCTGGCCCTGTGTGAGTGCTCATTGACTGGTTGTGTTGGTTGGAGTGTGCTGAGCTGAGGGGAGGTAACCTGATGTCTAGTGCACAAGCTTGTTGTCAGTGAGGTGGTTCCATGACAGGTTAGTGTTGCACTTGTCTGGGCCCTGTAGGAGCTTGAGATTTTCCTTTGTCCACTTCTGAAGGTTTCTTTTGCAACCACTTCCAATTTTTCTTTGCTACTTTGCAACAGAAATATGTCTCTAAACAGATCTTCTGATGAATCTTCCAGAAAGAGCACAAGGACTGAACTGCTCTGTGGATGCAGCTACTTGACTAGCTTCTGCTTTTGGTGCAGATGAGAAAACTGAAAAGAAGATGCTGATTGTATCCCCATCTCAGTGCTGCTTTACCTAGTCACTGGGGCTCCATGTTTTTGGAAGAAGGCGGATGGGAGAGACCAGGCCTGGGTTTTCAGCTGTCTCCTTTTTGTTTGGTAAAGTAGGCCTTTGTTTTATAGATGGTCATAGAAAGGTGATAGGGAGCGTTTCTGTGGCTGTGTTAATAAAAAAATCTATGTAGCAACTGGTGTGTAATCTTATCTCTGGATTTTACAATACTGCATTGTAAATTTTCTATAACAAACTCATAATTGTTCATTCAGACACAATGAACAATTCACATACTGTTCTTTCTGATATTTAATTAAAAAATTAAGTTGTGCTGAAGTGGTTATAGCTGTGTCTTCTCCTGCAGTGTGTCTTTAATAGACCTTTCTTACTTCCTGTGCTATAGAAAGACTAGAGCACCTTAACGCTGAAACTGCCTTCACTCAAAGCAATTACCCACAGAGC